ATATCAGGGTTTTTGTTTTGTTTTGTTTTGTTTTGGGCTGTGGTGGGGATTGATCCAGGGGCCTTGTCTGAGTGTGGTAGGCAAGATCTGTACCTACTCCTAATCCTTAATTAGGTCTATTTCAAGATATAATTATTATTTTTAGAAGCTTTTTATTCAATTCAACTCAAATGATGATTCCATGTATAAAAACAAATGCCACCAAAATACTAAATGAAACCTCAACAGTGGCCTGTGTTCTCTCATCCTATCACCAGGAGAATTCTGGAAAACTTAAAAAGAATGGGAGAAGAATCTTCTAGGAAGAACTGCTGTAGTTGCTACTCTTTGTTTTTCAGGTTCCATACCTGGGACCAGCCTCATACTGCCCTCTGCTGGCTTGGTATGAATTCAATATTCAAGTGCAATTTTATTAAAAAGCCAATAAATTTATTCATAAAATAAAATGTTTTAAAATTTATTATATTAAGGGCACTTGAAATTAACCCCCAAAACATATTGCAGCGTTACTTTATTAACTAAAAGATTTCTTACTACAAAAATAATACATGTTGATTAGAGCAAAGAAAAACAAATGAGAAAATGAAAAACCAAAATGCCAACCTTTGTAGAAATAACTGTTAACACATTGATGTATATCCTGCGAATCTATTCTCTTCTGTACTGGCACTCAACTTTATATTCTTTCATCTCCTCTTTTTGTGATTTTTCAAAATGCTAGCCTATTGCATATGTTTGAATATGTTATAAAAATATTCATATTAAAATATGGTCTTCCACACTTTCCGTTATTATAGCACCATAATATCCCAGGGATTTTCAACTTAATAATTCTCCTCCTCCAACCAACAGAATTATTACTAACAGCTGTGATTAATACATTAGCGCTATTCCTATTTTTTTTTGGTGGTGCTGGGGATTGAACCCAGGGCCTTACAGGCATGCACTCTACCAACTGAGCTATATCCCCAGCCGTACTCTTATTCTTTTATTGGTAATTGATCTAAATAAATGTGTTTTCTTAACTAAAGACATGCTGAATTAATGCTGTATAATTTCTCTCTCCCTTTATCATCAAAGAATGAAAAGTTAATAGAACCTCATGGATTGGCAAGTCCATAGAAGGACTACTAGGATACTTTACATGTTTTATAGTCAGTTTGGCTAGCTCAAAATTAAAACAAACAAAAACAACAACAAAAAACACTTGAAAGAGTATAAAAACACTTTTCTGTCTCTTCTCTGGTACATTTCCCTCCCAAAGCTAATTTAAAAAAAAAAAAAATTAGGAATGTGATCATGAAGATGGTTACTGAACATGGAATAAAAATAAATATTCCTAAGGGGTATATTTCATGAAAAGTAGGAGAAAACTTAGAAAATTGTCCTGTTGATGTAGGTTCATTGTCCTTCCTGCTTTCCAAGCCTTTCAAGCATTTTACCACTGAGCTATACTCCCATCCCCTTTTCTTAAAATTTTAAGACAGTGTCTGCTAAATTGCCCAGGCCCCAGTAGCTGGAATTTCAGATATGCACCACCAGGCTGTTTGTAATGCAACTTTAATTAACTAACCAAGATTAAGCTATAGAAAAGAAGCTGACTGGAACATATCATTCTCTTAATTTCAGTTTCAGCTAATGCTCTTATGTAAAGTGAAAGCCATGATTATTAAAAATAATTTAATTTTTTTTTTTGGCCTGGGGAGCCTTAGTCCTAGTCTTCTGAACACTCTTGATGTGGTGGGCTTGCACTTTTAAACTCCAAACTCTAAATGCTTGTTCACCCTTTTAAAGACGAGTCTTCAACCCCAAGCATCCCTCCACCCCCAACACATGGCAACAGCATTGAGTCAGACTTCTAACAAGTTCCTCAGGGAAGGAAAACTTGCTTCCTTCTGTCTTGGGCACCTTCTTAGTCCACCATGCCACTAATACTGCTTATTTGAATTTATCACTGAAGTTCTATTCTCTTGGCTTGCAAGCTTTCTGAAAATGCCTAGCTGGGAGGACAATGCCCTACCTATCTCAGCTGGCAACCTGCTCCATTCTGAGCCTGGAGTGGAGAAAGCTGTGACCTTGTTTCCCCTCCTTTGGACATACTCCCTTGCCTTTACTATAGATCTCAGGAGTGCTTCTGCTTAATTATCATATTCCTTGAATCTAAGTCTTTGTATTAAAAGAAAACTCAAGTATGATTAAAGCATAATATATGTGGAAAAATATTAAAGTTCCATTTTAAGGGCTAGAATATCCTTAGCAAGACAGATGTTCCAGAGATTTTCTAGGTCTTATAACACCTCTGCCTATAAAATGGTTCGACTGCCTCAATAATCCAGTTACAGACTGACAAATTCTTGTTTAATATACAGCATAATACAGCCTTTTTAAAAGTTCTATGTCGATGTCCCGACTCATTTTTAAAAGCATTTAAAGTAGCTTATGAGAAATACATAAATTTTAATAAAATCAGAACCAAACAACAGTTAAGAACAGAAAGAAATGGAATACTAGGCTTGGAGGACTTTTGTTGTTACCAGGGATTGAACTCAGGAGCACTTAACCACTGAGCCAAACGCCAAGGCCTTTTTTTTTTTTTTTGACAGGGTCTGGCTAAATTACTGATGCTGGCTTTCTTTAAATTTGCAATCCTCCTGTCTCAGCCTCCAGAGCCACTGGGATTACAAGGATGTACTACCAGGCCCAACTGGCTTGGAGGTTTCTTACAGCCAATATAAACAGGACTCATCAGTCTGCCCATTTGAGCGTGAAAATATTACCAAGCACTTGGAGACATTTTATTCAGGGTACAAAAGGGAAAAACACTCAGAGCACACACAGCAACCAGTTTCATACAACTATTTTTACCAGGCTGGGGATGTGGCTCAAGTGGTAGCACGCTCGCGGCACAGGTTCGATCCTCAGCACCACATACAAACAAGATGTTGTGTCCACCGAAAACTAAAAAAATAAATATTTAAAAAATTCTGCTTCTGTCCTAACACTAGAGCTTCCATGGGCTCCCTGGTGAACCCTGTTTGTTCCACATAGAAGTCACAAATCACATGGACATGATCACTTTTAACAATTGAGACTGGTTAGGATGAGTAACTGACACCCAGCATGAAAATCATCCAGATAATGTATAAAAGCAGTTGAGGATGCCAAAGGGCTCTGGCTAGGGAAATTGTTACCAAAGACTGATGGTCAAACACTTGGACTCTGGTACATACCAAATAGCTCTTGCTTTTCCTTTAACAATGTTCTTAAGGTGACTAAGTTCACTTCAGTGAAACGTAAAAAACTTGAGGTGCACATGGGCATTAACAAGCTCTCTGAATGCACAATATAGTCTAAAGCTGAGCAGAGTGAAAACATTTGGATCATAGGAACCTATGGATGTTACAAGAAGGCTGCAAAAGCTGAAAGTGGTGGTGCATACCTGTATTCCCAGTGACTCGGGAAACCAAAGCAGGAGGGAGTTCAAAACTAGCCTCAACTACTTAGCAAGTACCTGCCCAATTTATCAAGACTGTCTCAAAATACAGTGTAGCTCAGTGGTTAAATAGCCCTGAGTTTAAAGCTAGGTACAATAAAGGCTACAGAGAAATAAACAGACTGAAGTTTGGGAATTACAAACAAGGCAAAGCATGGCAAAGGACAAAGTGGTGATATAAACCCTTGAACATAGCAAGGACAAAAAGGTAGATGCTGGGTGATGAAGACTTAAATTTTGACGAAACCTACAAAAGATATCAGAATAAGCACTGCTAAGGCACAGTGGCACATGCCTGTAATCCTAGCAGTTTGGGAGGCTGGAGCAGGATTGAACAAAGACAGCCTCAGATTTACCAACAAAATGTGGATGTGGCTCAGAGGTTAACTCCCCTGGGTTATTAAAATCAAAAGGGGGGTGGATATTGCAGCTAAATTGTTGGACATGAAAGCATCAAAATCAGACAGGTGCAACCAACCTATAGGTTCAACTGACATTAGATCATTTCAGCATTGTTCTGAAACCAGACTGACACTTAAAAAAAAAAAAAACACCAAAATTCCAAAACTAGGTGAGAAGTCTTAAGGCAGTTGTAAATTGGATCCAAAGCTTTCAAAAAGAGGCAGTGGACCTTACATTTCAAAATATTTTTTGTGTGGTGCTAGGGACTGAACCCAAGGCCTTGTGCACATAAAGCAAGCACCAACTGGGCTACACCTCCAGAACTCAAGATAAATTTTGAAGCATTCCTAAAAGCCACCAAATCAATCTCCCACAAAAAAAATGCATCCCAACCTCCAATGATCCAGACTGCCAAGGCTAGAGTGTACATTTTCAGGAAAAGTCAGCACCTAAACATGCTTGGAAGGGTTTATTTATGTATTAATTTATGTATAACAGTTGAGGAAACAACCACCATGAACACCATGTTCATAGAGCTCAGTAAGCTCTCAGCTAAACTGGTTAAGCTCAGTGCAACAAGCATTCAATACCATATTTGGCTCATTTAAAGCCTTAAGCCACATGCTCTTAATCAGAAACTTAACATAAACTTGAATATACTGGTCAATTTTTGAGACTGGGTTATGTTGAAACATCTCTTGCTTCAGTGACCAAATCTTAGATAAAAGTTAACTAGGATATCATGCATTTGTAGCATCCCACAGCCACCCATTTGTTAACCTGTATACTTTTCTAATTTGCCCTGATTTTGGCTATCACTATTAAGCTGTAGGATTTTAATCTGTAAATACCTACTCTCCTAAACTCAGTCTTTTTCTCCAGGTGTTCTCCAGGTTGTAAGCTGGTCTTGTCAGTCCTCACTCCCTTCTGTTAGGCATATTTTTGCTTCTTAGGCTACTCAAGTTTAAATGCCAAAACCACATCAATAATTGTTTTTTTAGCTAGAAACCATAGAGTTGTTGTAGAACATGCTTCCAGAATTTGTTAGTTAATGTCCCTTCACTAAAAGGACCTTATATAACTGCCCCAAATAAAAAGCCAGAGGTGAGGAATGTGAACGAAAAATTTATTTCCTCATTTCTTGCATTTGAAGTACTCCTCGATGACATCCTTGGCCTGAGATTCCTTGCCATAATCCTTTAAAAAAGAAAAAAACCACATACAATTTCTTATTAACTTTTGGAAGTCTCACCCAAGTTCTTAACACTAATTATATACGAAAGCCTTAATGAAGCTTTAACAACTGTTTGGAAATGTTTCTCATCACTATTTATTGTAGCCATTTTCAGGGACCTTAAGGACTTCAGTGTCCTTAAGGCTCGTAAGATGGCATTATTATTGCCAGCTTTTTCTAAAATTTCTGCAGAAACATTTGCAGGTAAGCAGATTCACTAGCTGGCTTTAAAATGTCTCATTTTTCTTTTCAAATACCCATAAAAATTGTTAAGAAACACATTCTTTCCTCTTACATTTCCTGATTTATTTCAACACAAGGATACACACAGAACAGCCTTCATCCCAGATACTGACTTACCTTAACAACTACACAACTGCAACCAACCACTTTACGGGGCTTGCCCTCTCGGTCAATTTTACAGAGGCCTACCCATTCTCCTAGTTTCTTGTTGTCATCGACCTATTGCAGTAATTAGACAAATGAAACTTCATTATTAGCAGATATTAATGCCACTAAGAGTAAATTAAACCCCAAAGGTAGCTGTAGTCAGAAGGGTGACATGGCATTTTCCTCATGGCAATTCAGTAGAGGGAGCCAGTTGTCATCATGTACAGCACCAAGATCACCAATTAGCATCTTTGCAGGCATGTTTTGTTAGTTGTCTTTAACACAACGAACAATGTCAGACATGTGACTGGATACAAGTAGCATGATTTAAACCAGCCCAATTATCCAAAGCTAGTGCAAATTAACTTACCTTAATTAGATTGATTTGGTGTTCAGCACAAAGGGCCTCCACCAATTTGACATACATAGGCTCATTACAGTTGGATGCAAGTACACAGAGATGGGCCTGGCGCCTGAAATGAAAAAAAATGCAACTAAAATGAAATTCAATGCTCTTGCACTAAGGGTTGTCTCTGCTTTCGCTACACTAACATTAAAAAAAAAAAAAAAACCCCACACATATCTGCACAAAACTCTGCTGAGAAAACTTTAGAGGGGAGAAATCTGGCCAACACAACCACAACAACTTTCTTATACAAAACCTACTATGTAAAGATATAAACTACTGCATAACAAAGGGATTTTATTTTAGACAAAATAACATTTAACACTGTCAAAGTATATATATTGTGTAAAACTGCTACTAGGACCTGCTAAGGGTCAACTTATACAAGTGAATTTAACTGACAATCTGGCACAGAAGTCCTTAACGCATTCAATTTCAACTCAAAGCAAGATGCTTCAAGCCCAAAAATTAGTAACTCAACCAAATAAATTTACAAGTACTCTAGGTTTCTGATTAAATTCCTTATTATACTCATACAATTCCTCAAAGTCCAGATGCTTCTGCAACAAACATCAGCTTCATGTTTCATTCATTTAGCATAATGCTTGATTTGCTAACTGCTATGAGGCTCAGAATCCTCAAAACGACAATAGAGCCACAACCTACAGGTTTGTCAGACTGTAATGTTTTCACCCATGAAAGGAGTGAAGGGGTATCCGACATTTAAGTCATCATTCAAACACTGTAGTTTTAAGAAATCAACGGCTTGCCCCCATTCCAAACAGCAATCCACAAATTAGTGGGCTATATAGATCTAAGTCTGATAGCTTTTCCTAGGTTTCCTGTAGAACGGATGCCATTCAGAACTTTTGTGCTAACACCATGAACTTCACACTTTCTTCCCTCGGCTGAAGTTTTGTTCCGGTTGCAAAAACCCACAGTATTGAGATTGATAAACGTACTTGTCTAAGGCTTTGGCAGCTTCGCGAATTCCACGTGCAAGGCCATCGTGGATGAGGGCGGTCTTCAGCACCTCTTGTAAAGCAGTGTTGACGTCCATTACACCTCCAGCAGCAATGCTGAAACGCGACAAATCAGAAACGTCAGCCAAAATTCGCCAACATTTAACTCCTTGGACCCGACGGAGACATGAGCGATGTACGACAGGTACATGGCGCCTCAGCTGACACTGTCCGGCGCGTATGGCTCCGAGCCTATTTAGCACCCGCACCCCAAACCAGGCCCCCGGGCTCACCCTTCCTCGGCCATGGCGGTGGATTACGGATAAAGCTGAATCTTGAACAAACTGAAAAACAAAAACACTGATCAGACGACTGTGTTTAAATCGGACACTAATCACCCATCCGTGACAGAAGTCAACGAGTCCCACTAAAACCACCGCATTCGCCGACCCTAGACGTAACTCACCCCGAGCCACCGCCTCCGCGCGACTCGCGGCGGCAGAGAAAGAGGCCGCGCGTGACCGCATGACGGTATTTAAGGGTTTTGCTAGGGTCCCCTGCGCATGTGCGTTCCCGCCCACAAAAAAAAGGTGGCTCTCGCGGTGCCAGACTTTTAGATTTTCTGTTTCCGGTTTAAGACTGTTGAGAAACAAGAACACTGTGAGTTCCCTGGCTCTGCATTGGCCAGTGTTAGGCGCGCACAACAGGCAACACCCGGGCAGCTTCTCACTGTCCTTTTCCGCAGCAGGCGTGGCCTGCGAAGACCAGAGAGCTCATCCTACGGAGTGCCTGAGGAACCAAATCTTTCTGTCGCGTGGTTTAATCGGATCCTTGGCGCCAATGCGCCCTGGGTCCCTAAGAATGCCAGTTTTAATCCTTTCCACGCCACGTTGTAATTTCCTGCCAGTTTCACGTTTTGCCCCTTGGTTTCTAAGTCATTCTGTGGGCTCTCTTCATTTTTGTTTCCTTAAAACGGGAGCCAACACGTTTTCGCTACTTACAGCACTTAGCAAACCCACTTGGCAGGCTGTGTGTTAGTTGAGCGGAGCACGTGACGCGGCCGTCGGTTCCGGTTTCAGTGTGGTGGGTTTCAATGGAGTCTTGTGCCGGTTTCCTAGTGCACGCAGGGCAGGGCTCCCCCGCCGTGTCTTCATGCCCACTTTGTCACGGGCGCGGCTTCGGGTGCTATAGGAATGAAAAGCGTAGCGTTTGGAAAAGAGGAGTCGGCGAATTCGGGGTGCAATTCGAAAAACACCAAACTTGTGATTTTTTTTTTTCCCCTAAGAATTATGTTTCATTTTGAAGTAATTGGCCAGTTCCCCTGTCCACTTCTAAAGCAAATACACGGAACTGCTGAATATAATCTTTTTTTTTTTCCTTCTCTCTCTTAACAAGTTGACCAGCCAGTCAGCAATTAGTAAGCCTTTGTTATGGGTCTGATGGGTGTATACAAAGAGCAAAGTCAGGCTCCTGAGTGCTGTGACGAAAATTGTCCGTGTGATAAGATTATAGGGAGAGTTATCAAGACAGAAGTCCTGGGATTTTAGTAAATTGGTGGAGTTCATTTTCAGCTTTTCAGTTGCTTTTGAGTTTCATTTTAAAAGTGTTGAGTCGTCTTCTGTAACGTACACAAATGTTTATGAAACTTTGCCTTAAGAAACAAAAAGCCAGAATGTACCCACGGCTCTGCATTTTTGACGTGGGATTGAGATTTGAGCCCAAGAATAGAAAAGAAATAGAAAGTCAGATGACTAGAATAGATTGCCTAAATGCCACAAGAGTGGTGCAAGGTGGTGCAAGGTGGCCTGGGGTTAAGGAGAAGATTTCGAGCTTGTAGCAGCTTGTGAAAAGGGCTCCAAAAGGGAATCCCATCAGTAGGGGAGAAAAGGAGAGAGTATTCTAAACAGAGAGTAAGGGCGAGGCACAGATGCCTTTTTGATTTTTTTGACAATTACCCTTAAAATATTTTTATATTTGAGAAAGAATGTGGTTAGGAGTGTTTAAACACTCTTTTCAAATTAAAGTTAATGTGTTAGGACTGGACAGATAACTCTGATAGAGTGATAGCCCAGCATCTGTGAGACCCTTGATTCCATGCCTAGCACCAAAAAAAAAAAAAAAAAAAGAAGAAGAAGAATAAAAGTTAATGTGCTAATAAGCATATTATATTTCATTTCCCCAAAACATCTTATAGAAGAAGCAAACAATTTGTAAAAACTCTGGAAATGTAAATATGGAAAATAACTGTTTTCAAACAAAGCATTTTCATGAAGGAAAAATGACTAAGGGCCTTTTAGCTTAGTGGCTTTAGTGCTGGGGTTCCCAGTTTAGTACCTATCAATTCAGACTTGGTTTACCTCTTCTAGCAGTTCCTAATCTGTTCTGTTGACTCAATATCATGGACCTATGCCTTCATATTTTACTTTAATAAATACCTTTTCTATCAGCCACAAACCTCCCTCCTTAGGACTGGACCTACATTTTTTTTTTAAATCATCTTAGTTATATAACTAGTTCGAATCCCCACCCCGCACCCAGCAAATAAAGTTAAAGGGCATACTCATGATAGAAGGAATCTTTAATATAGGTTCTCCAGTTCACTTTTTAAAATTTACCTCCTTCAATTTTAGATATTGTCAAAGGTGGAAGAAAATATATATTAAAAGGTTAGTAGCAAAATATTCTTATACAAGCAGATTATAACATTTACATAATGTACACAAATATGAGTTTGAAATCGTACATATAAAAAATAAGTACACCCAGGCATGGTGGTTCCTGTCTATAATCCCAGGTATTCTGAAGGCCAAGGCAGGACAATCAAGTTAGAGGCCAGCTCAGCAGCTTAGCAAGACCCCGTCTCAAATTTTAAAATTTTTTTTAAAAGCTGAGTATATAGTTCAGTGGTAAAGCTGGTTCAATCTCCAGTATCACAAAAAAAGGAGGGTGGGGACGGTTGGAGTATAGCTCCATGGTAGAGTGCTAAATTCTTATTCTGTGTTTTCTCCCTAGATTGTCATAAAGACCTTATGTACTAATGCCAATATTAGCTCTCCTTAAGAAGTAAGGAAACCCAGGCTTAAAGAGTTGTCGAAAGTCAGATGACTAGTAAATGGAGAAACTGGTCTTTAAGGCCCATACTCCTAACCATCCAAACCATTTGAATGATTGTTGAAATGTGGGAAGGAGATAACTGAGGATTCAAGAATGACTGTATCTCACATTCGGCTATGATACAACTGGTTCCATCTCACTGTAATAAAAGGTTTCATCGATAGAAAAGGAGAATATTGCAGTTAGAAAGAGACAGCAGTAGAAATTTGTATTTCAGAATCATCTAAGTTTAGCTATTACGTAGTTTATAATTTGCTAGAGCTGTTGTAACTAGGTACCCTAAATTGCTTTAAAAAAAAAAAAGAAATTTATCATCTCTCAGTTCCACAGGCTAAAAATGTGACATCAAGATGTTGGTAGGTAGCTATACTCCATCTTGGACATTCCAAGAAAACCACTTTCTATTTGAAAACTTGAAATGTCTCTACTCTTGGGGGTACAAACGATATATGTACAATAGATGGAAATGAATGTTGTGAAAAAACAGAAAAATGTTACCCTGATGCAGCTCAGGAACATACAGGTTTAACCCTCATTTGTTATAACATGTACTATAGTTTGAAATATACTTAAGAAACATTAGTTGTAGACAAAGATTTGGATAAATTCCCGTATGTCAAAGGGACAATCAAAAGAGAAAAGGAGTTGGTAAGAAGGAAAATAAAATAAGAAAGTATATGAATGAATAAAAGTGGAATAGACTAACACAGGCTATTGGTAGTCCCGTAGCTTGTATAGTTAGTATGTTAGGCCTTTAATTGCAAAACCCAGTTTATTGAGGGAAAAAATATGATTGTGTGGGAGAATGGGACTGATAGTTATATAGCCAAGTATGAAGCCTATGCCAATAGTTTATATATTTTGAGAGTTTTGTGAAATTTTTATCCACATTTCTAAGCCTTACTAATATTACCCTAAATTTTATAAAATCAGAGAGACTTTCCCAAAGAATAATGACATTTATTTGGAAATAGCCCGGAATGGAAATATCAGAGCATTTCAATGGGTGTTTGCATACTATAGTAAACTATGGATATATCCAAGGAGGTTTAGGTAAGGAAAGTTTTTAAAGATAAAAATGAGAGGATTACATCAACTAATTAAAAACAATAATCCTTGGATAGAGTGAATGATAACAAGAATGATGTCAATCTGAGGTAGAATGGACAGCTGCTGGCCAGATGCCCTGGTAAAAATACTTTTGTATAAGGCCGTGGTGGCCTCTGTGCAAGCTTGTAGTTCTGATAGTGTTTTGTGATAGTTACTATTAGTCAATCATGCAGAAGAACTCTTCCTTTATAATCTCTCAGCTTTATTTATTTTTGTTAGGACATAAGCAACTCCATTTTGATTACAGCAGCTTCACATTTCATTTGTACAGAATATTTCCTCTTCCACTTGTTTCAGTTGCTACCTAGCACCAGATGTGATAGATACTCACTGCAGGGCTGAATCAGAGTTCCTGAGAACTAAGCATACTATGGAAGGTAGAGCTGATACTTTATGTTTATAAGTCAGTCCATTATGAACTAGCAACAAGATAAATTTATAACTGAAATAGAGCATAGTGGCCAAAAGAGCAAACCCTAAGTTAATATTAAATGTATTCCCATGGGATAGAAGGAAAACCTGAGTGTGTGGGACTCCAGCTGCTTTCTTTAGAGTAACTCTACTGTTTTCTGATGTTTCTTTTTAAAAATTGTTTCTGGAAAGACTGGAGATTTAAGGATTCTTTGATATAGATTCTCCTCCTTATCATTGTCTGACTATGTAGGCTTTCTTAAAACATTTCCAGTCTTTTAGCTAAATGAATCTGAAATCATCCAACTTGAAGAATGGAGCAGGGATAGGGGGAGAGAAGCAACTGAAAAACAATAGAGCTGCAATGACCTGTGGGACAGAAGTAAAAAAATCAAAAGCTCTCCTATTTATAATTGAAAGGTCTAACATGCTGTGTATGCGGTTGAAGGGCCAGGAGACAAAAGAATGATATAGAAATACTTGAAGAAATAATATTCAAAAGTTTCCCAAATTTAGTTAAATAAATAAATTTACAGATTTAAGAAGTTCAGTGAATTCATGACACACACCTGCACACACCCAGGGACAGTGAGCTACTGAAACCCAATGGTAAAGAGAAAAATTCTCAGGGCAGCCAAACCAAAGAAAAAAAGAAAAATATGTACATTAAAAATGGGAGATGAATAATATAATATCTCATGGATCTGTAAAACTGCAGGTTTCTTAATTAAGGTGATCTGTTAAATTACAAGGTTTTATATGAAGTGTTACAATTTTAACTAAGTAGCCCAGAAAAGTTAGGAATGTGTATTATAATCCCTAAGCAAACAATTAAAAAATAACTGAAAGGGATAGAGACAGATAAACTAAAGTGGAATTCCAAAATGTTT